CTCTGCCCACTGCGGAAAAGCTGCTAATCCACTGGCCCAGACACTTGCCTAAAGCTGTGGAGCAGCCAAAAAGAGTTCTCACTTTCCTTAATTCAGAGCAGAGAGCTGAGATCCTTCTCCCACGTAATCACAGAGCATCAGCTCTTCCAGGCAAATTTGTGCCTTTTCCATATCCATCAGTTCCCTTCCCCCCCTTCTCCAAATTCCTATCTGGTTATGAGCAATCTTTCCTGTCCAGAACAGTACATTTTTTGTAGAACATATAGGTTTCAAAAATTTGCATTTTCCAACAGCAACAACTTCAGCAGAACATGTGTCACTGGCTGTGGAGGTGCTGCAGCCCTTCCTCTTCCCCACGGCTGCTGCTGAGCAGTAAAATACACTACTGGAGGAATTTCTAGAGATGCCTCTCACTGTGGTTGCAACTAAAAGCAAAACTCACTGGGAAATCCTGACCTGAATATATGCAGCCCAGTTTAACCAAATACCGGTCTTGCCTTTTAACAGTGAGAAGAAAAGCTTCCTCCTTTTCTTTTTTTTTCTTCACCTTTTTTTTTTTTGTGCTTTTAATGATTCTCAGAACATAAAGACACCCTGTAGCTGGACCCCACATGAAAACCTGAAGACTCTCCCTTCAGCATCTGACTTTTTAATGCTATGGCATTCAAGTGCAAGTTAAATATAAGTTGAAATAACTGACTGCAGGAATGGAAAAAGGTTGGAGAAGGAGGCTTAAGGTTTAAAATAAAAACAACTAAAAGGCATAGGGAAAAGAAAATTGGCCACATTTGTTTGAAATAATTACCTAAATAAGCAATAACTGCAAGTGCCAAAACCCTATAAGAACATGGGTAGGCAATAACAGCTATGTGGAAGTCAACAGAGAGTGATGCATCAAAGGTTAAGAGGGCAGTCACGGGGATGCTGTTTGCAGCACAGTGAGGACAACAGCCTGTTCCTCAAATAGCAAAGGACAGCTCCCAACATGATCGTTATTACCACTTGCACAATTGCTGTTGTGCCAACAGTAAATCAGCTGGCAGCAACTGATAAATGAACATTCGCTGCAGCAAATGACAATACAAGCAAAGCTGGACTCCCACCTCCATCACCTGAAGGTTGCTTTGGATAAGTTGTAGCTTTGCAGAGACTTGCACTTCCTTCTGTGCACTCTCCCTCTCTCACCTCTATGCTCTTGGAAACAAAAACCGTGAGGTGTTTGTGTGAATTGGCAGGCTGCCTAGCCACCCTTGTCAAAATGGCTTGGCAAATTTGAGCTGAGCACCGGATGCTTGCACAGGGACTGCTTCTACTTAATGAGTCCACTTGATACCCAAGGCATACAATTTCCCTGCACTCTTGGTTTAACTGAAGGACCAGGAACATTCTGTATTTTGATAACAGTAAATCACCAACAGACTCCACATGCAATACCTCAACATTGTAAAAATTTGGAACATTGACATTCATGACGAAAAAAAACCCATGTGGTTTTAATGAGGGAATGAGCAAAAGGGAGCTGAACAGTGCTGAGGAACAGCCTTGTGCCATAGGTTAATTTACTGCAAGATCTTACTTGCTGTGTGACTAAAGTTGTCCCATCATTGATTCCTGGTCTCAGCTTAGCTTTTAATGAAACCCAGTAAACCTTGCTCGCTCGATCTTGCACTGAGGTAGACTGGCGTAGCACATTACAAGTAATTTATTTCTTTATTTTTCAAAATCTGCAGCAAGCCATTGGATTCCCCCCACCTTTTGCCCACAAGAGCAGTATGTCATAGCGAGTGAAGCATTTCACAGTCCCAAGTACTGTGACACAGATAAATCTCTCAGACAACGGGACAGTGAGGGTGAAAGCAGATGCCCCTGATGCCTTTCCCTTGCTAAACTTCTCTTTCTTCTCCTTTGCAGCTCCTCATTCCAACCTGATCTGATTTCACTTGGGACCTAGGATCTGTTCCTGAGAGCTTTGCTCCAGGCAGAAACAGCAAACCAGTGTGATACAGGAACACTGGACCTCCTTCTTCCCTTCTTTGCCTTAACACATCTCTGAGGTGGTGCAAAAATTCCCTTGCCTTCCTAGCAGCTACATCTGATACAGAGCTCTACTCCAGGACAGGCTGCCCCCAGCCCTCCCTGTAGCTGGGCAGGTCTCCTAGTGCAAGGAGGAGACAGGTATAGCGGGGCTTGGCTTCTGCCCTGCTGCCCAGACCTGGACACAAGGTACTGCAAGAGCATTAAGCCCCACATCATCATCATCCCTGCACAGCTGGGTCTCACATAGATGCAGAACAGCAGTGCTGCCAAGAGGCCTGTATGCCAGATATCATGCGGGCATATGCCTGGCAAGCGGCTGGGCCAGGGCATAGCTTCTCGCCCAGAAACCTGCCTATGCTCTGCCACTTCTCACCTTCCCCAGCAGCGACTAGCACTCCCAAGCTCTGCAGGCAAAGCTGCCGCATGTGTGCTCCCTCACCTGCTTCAGGGGCAAAATGCTTAATGAGCTGAAGCTGCTCAAAGCTGCTGCCCAGCAGGCACACACCTGGCAGCTCCCAGCAACAGGGGCCAGAGCATCTACGGTGGCTAAAATGCCTGGGCCCGCTGGGTGGAGGAGAGTGGCTTTTTCATTGGCAGTTCAGACTGAATGAGGACAGTGGCTGAATGCCGAGTGGAAAGCTCTGGGCTGTGTGCTTTGGTATTTGACCAGCTCAACCCTCTGTGCAGCTCTTTAATACCACCTGCTGTGCTGAACAGCCTGGTCCTGCACCAGTGCTCTAGGAAGCGCATCAAAATCCATCATCTCATTGGCACTGGTTAGCACCAAGCAGGATTATGGAGCATTTTACTGAACCAGGCTAACCACTAACAACGACTAAAATGATTTGTGAAACTGGACATTTGTACTATGAAACAGTACATTTTTTTATGCAGCATCTTGTTAGTCAACATGGTCTTTAAGTATCTTAGGGACTGGACAACTTGTCGCCAAGAGCACAGGCCAGCCAGATTTGACCTACAGCATAGTTTGTCAGGCTAACATAAAAAGCTGGTCTGCCTTTCTGTATGAAAAAAAAAAAAAAAAAGCACTATGAATGGTTCTGTATTGGGTTTGCACAGCAAGGTTCTGGTAGTGGGGGGCTACAGGGGCAGCTCCTGTGAGAAGGTGCTAGAAGCTTCCCCCATGTCCGACAGAGCCAATGCCAGATAGAGCCAATGGTCCGACAGAACCACCTGCAATCTCAGGTGGTGGACAAAAAGCTGATCACCACGGCAGGTTTTCACTCTGCAGCTGAGGTAGGTAGCCATGGCTTCCTTTACATTCAGCAGACACACACATTTTCAGAACTTGACTCACTCCGCTATTTTGGGTATCTACTTCAAGGAGATGAAATGCAACCTAGATCCCATCCTTCTCCAATAGCCAGAGAAGGACCTTTGACTACTTCAGATGCAGATAGCTACAGTTACTCAAACTGATCCCACACTGGACATCATTAAGTACCCGGCTTCAAAACTCAGACACACAAAATATGCCAGTAAACTAACGGGCAAGCCCAAGCTGTCAGGCCAGAGATGATACTTCCCACATAAAGGAGTTTGGTTTTGAATTCACCTTGGATAAAAAGTAGAAAAAGGAAGGAAGTGCATGGCTGTGCAACCTCACTGGTTGCCTGGGATGGTATGCACTACTGCAGGCAATGTTGCTGTGATCTCTGGTCCTGTCGTCCTCTGCCATGCAGTGAATGAAGTCACTCAGGCATTGGTTTGTCAAAATTTTGCTCTCACACAGCCCAAGGCTCACATTCAGTAAGATTAGAAAACCTGTGCTTTCCTATTCCCCCCTTCCCAAAAGCAGCTGTGTTGAAAGAAAGGATTGGTACTGAATAGCTGCGGCGAAAATTTAAAATCTGCCCTCATGGATACGCTAAATTGTTCCAATTTTTTGTTCTAGCAGTCAGCAGTTTTTATTTTTTCTTTTAATTTTTTTTTTTTTTTTACAGACAAGATAAACCTTTTCACAAAAAAAAAAAAATGTTCAAAAAACCTGACATAATTTCCATAAAAAACACTACAAAAACTCCACTAAATATCCAAAATTTTAATCTTGGAACAATGACCTTTTTACAAAGAGATTTTAAGGATTTGAGTGTACATAATCACAAAAGCAACAAACTAAGGCATATTCTCCATAGCCACGTTTATAAATTAAAGACTTTGAAAAGCCATCTGACTTGATCTTATTTAAACCTTGTCAAGATACAGGCAGTACAAATTTTAAAATGTTTGACTTACTTTTAAATGTAGTGGACTGTCAGTTTATACAATTATCATGAGTATGAGCTAGACTAATTTCAAATCACTGAAACAAATACTTTAGTAAGAGCATGAAGCTTAAACATTATTTTAAAGTGCTCATTAGAAACCCAACATTTCAATTATAATTAAGAAATGTTAAAAGATATTACATTCCTTACATGTCGAGTCTGAAAGTACAGTATGTACACAATCTACAGTTTTGTCTTTATAAATAGGAAATAATTTACCATGTATCTCAAACATGACTAGTAGCTGAAGGGAAGCTGAAAGACTATTTTGATTTGGCCAGAAAAAGTTAAAAAACAGAACAGTCATCCCATACATACAACTACCAGAATTCTGTATCCTAAGCACTGCCACTTTGGCCCATCTCCTTGACTAATTCTCCTACACCCACTCATGAAGCATCTGCCAGTATGTTGCCAGTAGAGAATTACAGCATCTCTTGTAACAGAATTGCTTGGGTCTCTAGAACTGGCAAGGCTGCTGCTAAGAGAAAACGTAATGAGGCGTTAAGTCCCTTAATAAAACACAAGAATTATATGCTGCAATGTATTACACTTTGCAGAGATAAAAGAACTCTGAACTAGGCTGTCAAACAATAAAAATTTGGACGTTCTTTATGTTAGTTATTTTTTTATGAGCACTACAGTTCATTCAACAAGACAAAACTAATTCAAAGGCATCTGTGACAAATTTAAAAGCCTACATCAGCTTTCTTGTAAACCTAAAACCAATCTTGTAAAAATCTTGTAAAACCCTACCCAGTTTCCTTCAATCCAGAGCCACAGTATGTTTGCTAGTCAAGTCTCCTGTCCTGACAGGAGCTAATCAAACCTCTCCATCTCACTAGCAGTCCTCTGTGATTTTGCCTTAACAGTTTTGCATCATGTGGTATTACCCTGTGCGCAGTTAAGTGCGTTTCACACAGGACTAATACCAGGTACCTGTGAAATGTTAGTATTGTACATCATTGTACTCCCCACAGCGTGCACACTTTTCAACAATCCCCCTTAAAGTACAACATGGCAAGTTTTCAAAAATACAGACAACCTTAAAACACAAGACCCAGGAGTGTTCATGAAAGCACAATAAAAAATATTTAACTTCCTCCCATTGCTTTTCATTTCTCAGCTGCCATGAAGGGCAATATTTCATTTTTTTCTGGGTCTTTTCACCAATTTTGCAACTGGACTTTGTAATTTTCAGACAGATATAAGAGTATACCCACTCACATATAGTTACATGATTACAGTAAAATCAAAAGCCACAACATAAAATAATGGTGAACATTCCATAAGTGGAATTGTAACTTTTGGTCAACATTTCTGCTAGGCTAAAGGCAAAAATATGCTGTACAAGATCATGTTAACATCTGCAGGAATAAGCCTCTTGTTTACTTTGGCCTCCTCTTAGTGTGTGGTCAGCCTGAACTATGCAATTTCTTAAAAGAATGGGTAGGTAGATTGTTAAGCTATTATTTCTTCCCTGCTTGTACCTATTAGCAGATTCTTCCCTTGCAAAACAACATTCATGTGTAAAAATGTACTGTGGTGCTCAGAAGAGTTGAAGGCAAACACGTGTATGAGCAACAAAACCTGTCAAGGTGACAAACGATTCAATGGACTGCCTTCTTCTCCACCCGCAGCAAGCTTGAGCGTTGTTAGCTTTCGAGGGGGATGCTGAGGACTCTTACGAAGGTTGTCGTCCATCTGCAGAGAAATAATGAGAGCCGGATCTGGCAAACAGTAGAATATAGATTATACAATTAGTCTATTTGTCAGGGCTGCCATCATTAATGCTGGTTTGGGCTATTTTTTACCCTGTTATTCCAGGCCCAGCCAAAACTGATGCCTTAGTTCCTTTCCACTCCCAAATATATTCTTGTGTTAGAGCTGCTATTCATTCCATTAGCATATGGTGTATCAAACCCAGGGCAAATAGGTGTGCTTCTGGTCAAATAATTTCATCAAAATTACTGAAGAAAGCAACATTGCTACTTTCTTCTAAGAGGTCAAAGTTTCAATTTTGTATGATAGCCAAATGCTGCTAGAAAGCAGATCAAAAGTCAAACTGCTAACATCAATGGATGCTTTTGCACGTTCAGCAGCTTGCAAGAACAAATGTTTTTCAAGTTAGAAACATTCTGGAGGCGCTGGGTGAATTTAGATTAGTTACATAAGACCTTTTCAAAGACAGGTTAAAATAAATCTCTGAATATAAAGATTTTACATTTTTATAGGAAATGAATGTAATGCCCTGTGCATAATGTGGTATCAAGAAGAGTCTAGTTACTACAGAATAAACAGAATCACAGGAGACAGCACAGGGGAGATCTTCAGAGCTTGCCTAGTCCATCCCATTTCCTCAAGGTAGGATCAGCTTTACCTAAATCACACCTGACAAATGTCTGCGTAACCCATTCTTTAAAACTTCCACAGTCACACTTCAATACCACAAAGAGGAGACATAATCAATACCTAATGCTACAGAAGCTGATGGTAGTTAATGACCTATTTCATACACTGATCCTTTTCAGGAAGAAATGCTTTCTATCCTTCTAGTTAGAGTGTTCTGTCTGCACCAGAAGACTAATTCACAAGTATTTTTCACATAAGTTGTATAGCTTTTGTTAAATGCTGAGTGACAGCCTTAGAAACAAAGAATATAAAGAAATACAAGCTAGATGTAGAACAAGCAGGAGAAAGAGTGACTATAGGTTAGTGACTACAGCATTCAGCTGGGAGCAAGGAGAGCTGGCAATCAGTCTTAACTTGCAGGACCACTTCTGAGTTTTGATCAATGTATTTGCCTCCTCCTTTGCTGTAATGTACGCTTGCAGAAAGACAATCTTCTTTTGTTTGTACACGCACTTACAATCAAAAGAACGTCGTCTTGCAATAAAAATCCTTTTTAACTACAAGGCTTCATTAACTATTCCTTTCAAATGAGATAATATTCTTCCTGTCTCTATACACAAAGTAACTCACTAGAAAAGAAGCAATTAAAATAAAATGTCCATTGTACAGTTGCAGTTGCCATGCAAGAGTATCTGTGAACAAGTAACCACAATGAAGCAGGAAAATTAGAGACTGAAGCAAAAGTAACCTTTTCAATCAAGTTGGATTCCTTATTTACAAGCTGTGTGAGTTTCTGCAGATTAGCATCTGCTGTATCCTGTCCAGCCGGAGAATGGCCTGGAGAGTGAAGGTAGAAAGATGAGGAGTGACAAGGTATTTACAAAAGCTTTTAAATCCTTAAAAAATAAACCCGCATTGGAGACAAAGTTCATGCAGTATTTTTATTATAAGAGTTTAAGAGGAAAAGCCATTCCATGTGAGAAAAACAGAAGTACTAAGCATAAGCCATAGCACAGATACAGGTGCATTTTGCCAATGCTTGACAGAGTCTAAAACTGAGTATTAACGTTTGCTTTTAATTTTCAATCCCTTCCACACAACTCTGGAAATTTCTCTACCTCATTTCCTCACAGAAGCTCTAGCATAAAATCTAATTCCGCCTTGGTTCACAGATGGAATCCTGGAGTCCCAATCCAAACAAGACTATACATGACAAAAAGGGGAGAAGAAACACAGCTTACCTGAGAGAGTTAACCTGAAGTAGCAAGTTAAAATATCATCACAGAATCGACACAGATTGGGAAGCTGTTTCAAATGCTCTTGTAATTGTACTCTGGGGAAGCACACTTTATAAATCGGTGCAAGGAAACCAAACACAAAGGCATCCAAGGTGGTAGGCCTGAAAAGAGTGACAAACAAAACAAAAAACCCAAAGTGACTACGGTAAGACATTAAAACCTCTACAATGTAACCGTTTTCTGTGTATGTCAAAACACAACTCATGACAGAACATAGCTCTTCTGGCATTCGAACTTTTCATATCGATCTAGTAAATGCTTTGTACAGACTATCTACTGACTTCAGCACCTCTGAACTAGAGACATGCTGGCAAGCTGAAACAGTAACTTCAGCATTAAAATCCAGTCATGCTGTCATGTGCACTGATATAAAGCCACTCTAAAACACATTAGTGGCATCACAAAAGCCAAGCTGTATGCCAGGGGACCAGGATCCTCTCTCATGAAGTGGTCCGACTTCAGTGGATAAAGGAACAAATCACCCTTTTTAGGACCTGTTGGTACCATGATGTTGGCAGTATCTGCTCCCTCCTGTGTACATACCACAGGAATAGGAGTGTTCCCAGACCTACACCCTCCTTCCACGAAGGCAGTGGTAACACCTCAGGCTTAAAGCATTTCTTCTACATGCAAGCACAGGAGGTGACATTCAGTGGCTAGAAAAGCATTCTCTACACTAACTCATCAAGCACCCCACATTTTCTTAGCAGCTGTGGGCAGCATCTGCCTCTCTGTGAAAAAATACAGGATAAGGGAGACACCACATTGCCTTAGTCCAAAGATCTTGTTTGTGCCCTGTTTGCTCATTCAGATTTACCTGAAAAGCAGAGTGTGAGACATGAAACTACTGTGCAGCACTTTTAATGTTCTGGCAGGTTAAAAAAAAAAAAAAAAAAGTTTAAGTGTTCAGAGTCATGTGGTACCTGTCTTATTAATAAGTCATTAAAAAAAAAAAAAAAAAAAAAAAAAACCCCACGTATCTCCAAAGAAAAACTGAGATGTTCCCAATCTCTTCGACAGGAGATTTAGGCACTCCTTGGCATCCCTGTATATCTGATGAAACACAAGACTGTCTAAGAGCCCTAGGTGTAGCAAGGCTAGTATACACAGCATCGTTCATCATTTGACAGTATGCTAGACTGCTTCAGTTCTTGTCTTTGACAGCACCAACTTACAAATTCTTTACTACACGACACATACCTGTGCTTCCACTTCAGTGAGACTGTAGAGTGGAGGCCCACCCCTGGTTAGCAAGATCCTATTCAGTGCTTCCCTGGACATCTTTCCAGGCAGATACAAACTCAGTGGGAAGGCAATCCTTGAGGCAAACCATGGCTTTGTCACGCTGCAGTAGTTTTCAGCCTCAACCCAGAAAGTGTGCAGCTGTATCAACACAAAGAAAAATATGACTGGAATTTCAGTAAAAATAGTAGACAACTCTTAAAACATGTGTAAGATCTCATGTCAAAGCAGAAGCACCAGGAATTATTGTTATTTAAGGCAATCAGGCTCCAAAAAGGATTATACTAATCCTTTGAGTGTAGAAGTATATAATTAAGGCAACAGCTACCTTCCACCTAAAGAAAAACAAAGATATTACATAGACCTATATACACGTGCATAAAATTACATGCACACTCATGTTTATCTATGTGTATATATATAGATATACACACTCATACACACACACATTGTACATAGAAAATACATTACCAAAAAAGTTGCTGATGTACAGGATCAGGTTTGAACTTTATAGGTTTTTGGGGTTTTTTTAAATTGTACATAAATCTTATAATAAAAGATATTATGAAATATTGAATTTGAAACCTTGTAGGTCAGCTGAAGAGGCTAGCCTATGATATCATCTGGTCAAAATATTTTTTCCTGTATAAACTGAAGCCAAAGTCATTCAAGGGATCCAATGTCTGGGGATTTTTATAGCTCTAATGTACGTACACTAAATTGGTGAGGGCATCTGGCCATGTTATTTAGAACTGAAAAATGAAACTACTGATGGGTATTTTCTCAAGAGTTCTATAACTGAGCAGTTCAAAAGAATTCCACAGTTGTGCAACCCACGTCAGACATACCACATCTTACTCAAAGCTTTTTCAAAAGAATGAAATGCAACAAAAACCAGCCACAATACGCTGTTTTCAGGATACTGTTTCCCAAAAAGCATCTAAAAGAAAATAGGTGCCCTTTTAAAATGTCTTTCATAAATTCATTATTATTACTTCACATCCTACAAACACACACGTCTTTCCTTCTCAAAAGCTGCTAGGCAGTATTTCCAAAATTGGACTAACAAAGCAAATACATTCCAGCCAGGACTATGGCTGAGAGATTTTAATGTCTCTCACATTGGGCACCTCTTGTAGTATTCACTTCCAAAAATTCTGGCCATTATAAAGTATTTCTCAATACTTACCAGAGCAGGAAGCAGCTTCTCTTCAAGTAGTGCAATATATGCCAGTGTATCAGCTCCTTGTTTTGCAGACAATTCATAATCAGCATTATACTTCTACAAATTAAAAAAAAAAATACATACTACAGTGTTACACAGAACTTTCCAAAAAGATGATCAATGCAACCTGAAGCTGCTTCAAAGTTAACAGCTATCAAGCCAGTAAATACAACAACATTTTTTGGGACAGAAAGCACACGCTTACTAGAATTTCTTTACTTCTTCAGGCCAGCTATGTTAAACCTCCTTGCATCTCCCTCTTCCACTTCCCCATTCTTAGATTTTGGGGCCCTCCTACCTCCAAAATAACTCTTGTGTCTCCTTCCCACTGCTTTCCAAACAACTGTTCAATGATACAGAGGCAATTTTTCAGTACTTAGGGATGTAGCAAACCTCTGGCAAGTCCCCACCTTTATTTTTGAAGAAGAATCTGACACTTAAGCTGGTGTAAGTGTACAAAAAGGCAAGCATTCCCGTCTTTTGCTTTTAAGTACTATTCTAAAAGTTTAGAAATTGGATGCTGACAATATAAGGGACTAAATACACAGCTAAATTAGTGCAGTTACAGCTGACTGAGCTTTTAATTCTGACACTGGATCCTTTTAAGGTACGTTAAAAGGGCTGGTAAGTTTTTCGGGGTGAGAGGAGATTCGTTTCATTAATTTAGAAACAAAGGGTCAGTGCTGATCCTTATACATCTGAAAAGCAAGTATATTATTGTTATACTTAAACTCAAAGAGAGATTTTTTTTCCCAACATTAAGGAATCTTTGGTATTCAAATGGCTATGAAACTTATGAATTTTAAAACAACTGTCTAAAATCCCATCTCGAATGCGCAGTTTTCAAATTCTGTTTTTCTTCCCCCCAAAGATGTAAAGTTTCACTAACATGGCATTCATCAGATAATCTTCTTGACTAGGCAGGAACTGAATTACTAATGTAAAAGCAGAAAAGTGGGCTGGAGGACCAGCTTAGAAATAAAAAGATCATACCATGCTTTATTAGACATCTTTATACTTTGTGAAAAGCAGAAATTGTATAGCTTTATTCTTTGTGAATAAAACATTAAGAGATCTGCAAAAGGCAAGCAAGAGTTGACTACGCAATAACATGATGTGCATCAAGAAATACTTGCAGACATTTTTATGCTACAAGCTATAGAAAAACTACATAGATTAAAAAACAACGCTGTATGTATTATCCTTCAAAAAAAGAGCACTGGGAGATGATTACCCACTTGAGCAGTTAAAACCACATTTCCCAAACTGTAATATCTTAGGTCTGCAAAGCCATAATGACGTTAAAAGCATTACAATTAAGAGCAGGGTGCTCAGAGAGAAACTGCTCAGTTAAGGCCAGTTTGCTGTCCTTTTCAATGAACAGTTTTCTCGTGCCTATTTTTAAATCTTTCACACAACTAACAATCAAACTTTCAAACAGCAATCTGCTATCCACCATTTTGCAATTCTCACGCATATATGAAAAACAGGAAAGCACTGAGTCTGAAATGAGTTCCAGGTTTTCGGAAGCCTATATCAACATATACAGGGGACATGCAGAGTCACTACAAGGCAGAGAAAACAAATCTTTTGAAAGAAACCTACCTGTCTTCTTAAGAAGTTTAATATTTTTGCTGGCTGAGAAATAACAATGTCTTCTGATATCAGAACTGGTACATCTCCTAAAAGGCATAAATAATACAGTCAACAATTTATATGGATGAGTTTTAACATAACTAGAAAGCAATCAGTCACTTCACCTACTTTCCTTTTCTCCATAGCATGCTCTGATCTTTCTAACATGTACACATAAACTAAGCTTTACACAGCAGGGGAGTTCCACCAACATCACAAATATATTTAGTGTATTGCGGCCTTCACTAATAACAATACATAAAAAAGGGCCCACATCAAATCAGACTGAAGCCAATGTCTTCTGCTAGATATCTGATACCTTGAGAACCATGCTACTTGTCTGGATTTCAGATGTTCATCGTAAGCCAAAAATTCCAACCCAGTCCAACTGCCCTCTCAACTCATTCACCTCTGGGCCTCTTCTTCCTGCTGCTCCCATTTTTCGCTGCCCTTCCCCTCCAAATCCATTTTAACCACCTGTTTTCTCTAGCCTTGCTACAACCACTGCCCAAGCTACCACTGCATAACCATGACCTATTCCAGAACCAAATATTTCCCTTCTGCCAGAAGCTACTGGTCAGCCTTTACTCATCAGATTGCAGAATGAAAGACTGTAGAGTGTAAAATCTCTGTAACAGGGGCTATCTTATAGCACATTCACAACGTAACTGCCACAATGAGTCTAACATGACTGTGTTGCTAAATCCTACTAAAATATCAATTATCAGCAACACTTACTATTCGGATTTTTTTTTTAATGCATTTTATGTATTTTGTTTATGAAGAAAGCCACTGAACTTTTGGCAAGTACACTCAGCTAGTTCCTGGTATTTTCTGCTAACAGAAAAAAAAACCACACTGAAAAGCAAGAGTCAAAGGAGCAACTTCTGCATGGATACTTTAATGCCTAAACTGATGATGTGGTAAGTGTAAATGACAGAGTCCTTCAACCTTGCAGAGATTTTACCTGTCTGGAATACATCAAGATAATAACTTAAATGCTGAGCAAACAGATAAGCAATGAGTAGAAGTATCCAACAGGAAGTCCTCTCTGATACCTTATCTTCAACTTCTCTGGCAACTAGGTTGTTAGTCACTTTTTCTGAGTCAACCTCTCTAACTCAGCACAGTACTAAACATCCCAGCTGGTGCAAGTTACACTCTTTGAGGCTCACATTTCACTTCCAACTGTACCAGCCCATTAAATTATGTATAATTAAAGAACACTATTTCCATACACAAGTCTAGTTACTATCATTATAAATATGCAAAGTGCAAAAAGCTTAAAAATTTGCTTTCATTACACCATCAATTTAGACTACCTGACAGAAACAGGCATGTACTTGGCACCACTGCTCTGCTGACTGTCTGCTGCTTCACCCATACTCATTTTACTAAAGTGCCCTTTGAGGCACTTTATTTATGTCTTCCATTATTTTATTCCCACAAATTCATCACACTTGATCCTGTAAAGTCATTTATCAATGTATCGTGAAGCAGGTACCCTTCACGGGGGGGGGGGGGGGGCACACCTA